CCGCTCGGGGGGGAAGGAGGCTGCGTGTGCTGGCTGCCTAGGGGCTGTAGCTGGACTCAGCGTCGGGGGCGGGGCGGGCGGTGGCGATACCCCGCCCATCCTCGATAGACCACGCCTCTTATATTCTAGTCCCGCCCCCTTTCGCAGCCCTCCAGCTAGGTTCTGTTCCTGCCCTTCCATTGCAAGACCACGCCTCTGGGCTCTGAACTGCTCCTCTGAGTTGCATCGCCCCAATTCTATCCCTTTCCGGAGTTACTCCCCCCCGTTCCATCCCCCCAGCTCCTTCCATCTCTTTTCTCTCCTCCCGAGTTCTCTTGCTCACCTGAGGTTTCCCTCTCCTTTTTAGTTCGCCCTAATTTCGTCCTTGCTTTTCGTCCCCTACGGTTCCATCTCCTGCGTTCTCATCCTCCCAGCCCTATCCCTGCGAGTTTCTGTGCCCTCCAGTTCCACATCCCGCCCCCCGATTTCCATCCCCATCCCTCATCATCCTCAGTTCAACTTCCTCATTCAGAGGGTGCTTTTCTCATTCAGGGAATTCTTTACCCCTGAATTCCGACCCCCATTTTGATCCACCCATTGTCCCCTCTAGTTCTTCCCCTCTCCGGTTTCTTCCCTCTTGACTTCCATCCACCTGTTTCCATCTTTCCTTTTTAAAATTCTATCCCCTCCCAGTTCTATTTCCCCTCGGGTCCCATGCCCCTCCTGGTTCCTTCATCCTTGATTTCCTTCCCCTCTGAGTTCCATCCCTGACAGTTATACGCCCGTCCCCAGTAGCGACCCCCATAATTCCCAACCAGCCTGGAATCTATCCCTCCCTTTGAGTTCCGTCCCTACTCTCCCGAGTTCTCTTCCCGCCCCTTGAGTTTGGTCCCCTCCCTTGAGATCCGTCCCTGACCTAATTTTTGCCCCCTTCCCGTGGAATCGGTCCGAGTTCTGTCCCCACCCACTGAGTTCTTTCCCCGCCCCCTGAGTTGTGTCCCCTCCTGCTCGGGTCTGTCCCCGCCCTCTTACTCCATCTCTGCCAGCCCTGCCCCTTTGGGGTTGAACCCGGACTATTTCTCCGGCCCGGGTCCTGCCCCTGCTCCTTTCGCCAGACCAGCTCTTCTCCCCGACGCTCAGTCCACCTCCAGACCCAAGCCCCGGGAGTGTGCTCCTTTCCTCACCGCCTCCCTGAGTCGGGCCGCAAATGCATTTGGGATTAAATTTTCATGAGGTGGCACAAGCCCTCAAGGAGGTTGGGAGGGAGCAGCCGACGAGGCGGGCGGGCGCCACGGACCCGGTGGCCCGGCAGCCACTGCCCGCCACGGCCTCCCGTTTCTTGCCTTGTCCCGCTGGGTCTCTGGGTCTCACAGTTTTGGCTATGTTTGCGAAACCCCCGGGGAGGGGGAGGCTGGGGGCTGGGACCCCAGGGTCTGAGGAAGGAGGGGCTGGAGACCCGGACTTCTGGGTCTGAGGAAGGAGTAGCCCGCTGAACCGTCCACGAGCGCCACCCTGTGGCGGCAGAATTCCCGGCCCGGGTGCGGAGGCGGCGGCCGCGGCTCCGGGCCAGGTGTGAAGGTGGAGCAGATGGTGAAGAGGCGGGAGTAGGAAGGGGGCCCCAGCCGCTGCCAAATCCCGGGCCTTCGCCGGAATCATCACCATGGAGACCGAAGAAGGCGGAAAGGACCCAGCTCCACACTTTTTTGGGACCTGGGAATGAGTTCCTCGGCTTCCTACGGGGGCTCCCCGTGCGAACTACAAGTCCCAGCGGCCACTGGACTTCACTGTTTGCTTCGGAAGAGCCGCGCTCACCGAGGGTCGCTGGGAGTTGTAGTTTTCTGAAACACCAGGCTGAGGCTGCGAGCCGCCCTCTGGTGGACAAGGCGCCACGTTCATAGGTCCAACAGACCCCATATCACTTCATAGGTCCAACAGACCCCATATCCGAGGTCATCCCCCTACCTTTTCACCTCCTCACCATCTATCTACTCCTGCCTCCCTACCAAATTCGGTCCATTCTAACCACACTGATCTCCTCGCTGTTCTTCCAACATTTACCACTGAGGTTCCTCCATTTACCTATCCTCCTAGGACTCGCTATGGAAGGAGAGAGGTGTCAATCATACGTTAACTCAACATTCGTTGAGTTCCTTCTAATTCTAAAGCATCATCACACCACAGGGGCATACATTCAATGAAGTAACACTGGATACCAGACACCGCCAGAGGAGGATTCTAACTCAGCTAGGGGAGATCAGAGAAAGCTTGAAGTTTGAAAAGCTTCCCAGAAAAAGCTCACTGAAAGGAATGACTTGGGAGGGGGCGGAGGGAGTGTCCACAGGAGAGGAAACAGTACTTGCAGAGTCAGGAAGTAGGACACAGTTTGGTGTGATTGTGACCTGAAGCACCATTCCAGGAATAAGAGGATCGTCAGGACGAGAGGTAGGAGAGGCTAGAGATGACAGCATGTATCAGATTACTAACGGACTCATGAAAGGTCCCCTGGGAGGGCAAGACAATTAGACACTTCCCAGGTTTTACTGGAGGAAATGATACTGAGTAGAGGGAACAGCGGAAACTAAGAGAAGGTGCAACACACAGGTGTGGTCAGGACACCCTTCAGTGTGACGGGATTGAGTGAGAGGAAGGACGGGAATAAAATGAGGCATAGGGACGTCTGACTTTGGCTCAGGTCATGATCTTGGGGCCTGGGATAGAGCCCTGCACTGGGTTCCCTGCTCAGCAGGGAGTCTGCTTCTCCCTCTCCCTCTGCCCCTCCCCCTGCTTGTGCTCTCTCTCATTCTAATTAAAAAAAAAAAAAAAAGAGGCATCAAGGGGGCCACACCAACATGGCCTGGGGTGCTAGGCTGAGGGGCTGGGATCTTCTCCTGGGGCACTGGGGAGCCAAGGAGGGGATCTAAAGAGGAGAGGGGAGGGTCAGCTCTGGGACGGTGTGGGACAGGAGGGGAGACTGGAGGCCAGGAGGCCGGGGAGAGGATCTGGACGGGGAGAGGCTGAGGCCGAAGCTGGAGCAGTGACTGCTCTGTGACTCTAGGACCCAGTCCAATGTCCCTCTTTCCTCCCACTCCCCTTGTACTCCTAGCCAGACACAGAACAAAGGCAAAAATCTTTTATTTCAATTTCAGAGAAGCCCCCACCAGTCTCTTCTCTCCACCTGGAAACAGAGAAAGAAACCCAGTCAAGAAGCCACCGACAGAAGGGGCATGGCCACCATCAGTTGCTGAGGAGAGACAGGAAAAACAGAATGAGGATTCAGGACCAGGACACTTCCCTGTTCCCTGCACATCTCCCCCTAGCCCCCCAGGTACCTTTCTCTTCCGATGGAAGGCTGCCTTGCTCTCCCTGGAGTTGATCCGCAGGGGGATATACGCATCCAGATGGTACAGCTGCTGGGGGCCCCCCATCACCAGGCGGTTCTCCCCGATCTCCAGCGACAGCCCCAGAGCTCCGTCCTGAGAATACAGTGAAGTAAGCCCATCCTTCCCTTCCCAGCAACAAGGCAATAATCAGGTGGACCGGGGAGAAAAGCCTCCTGTGTCGGGATACCATATGTAAAGGGTCTAATCCTCCAGGACAAAGATGAGAGACAGTAATTACAAGTCCCCATGACTGAGCACTTACAATGTCCCAAGCACCCTCAGGACAGCTCCCAAAGTGGGCCCGAAGGACCCATGGCAGGCAGCTGTACTCAGAGGCAGGACTCACCAGGCTCCCACAGGTCTGGCAATGAGCCCCGCTCACTCCCCCTCAGAGACCCCAACCCTTCCAGACCTTTCTCCAGCTCTGCTCAAGCGTGCACTCACCAGTTTGGGGAGATCAATTTCAGCCAAGAGAAGGTCAGGGGCTTCCAGCCAAAGGTTCAGGTGAGGCTTCTCATGGCTGGGGAGGAACAAGACCCAAAATTGAGGAGAGCCCACCAGCTCCTTGCCAGGGTTCATCCTTTCCTTTCTCCCGCCTCTGAGCCCTGCTGCCTCGGGGAGCCTTCTCGGTGGGAGTGCTGCTTCTCCCCTCTCTGGGTTCCCAGAGACCCCAGGACACTGCTTCCTATGGGGAGGGAGAAACGTGAAAGAGAGAACCCATGGAAGGCGCACCGTTCCTCAGGTCTCAGGGAGTCAGGAGTATACAGGTTTCCCATCTCCTGGATCCGAGGACGCTGCTGGGATCGGATATTTTGCTGGGAGATGGAGCCCAGGAAAGGCCGGTTCTTCAACATGCGCCACTCTGCAGGTAGGAAGCTCGGGGTCAAAGGTGGCACGGGTAAGCGTTCCCTTTGCTTCCATAGGGGTCATGACAGCAAGAGCCTCAGGGGAAAGGACGCGCCCCTCCAAGGATGCCAGGGATCTGGCCACACCCCCAAGCTTGGCTTTAGGAAATCTGCCCACCTGCCCTTCCCGGGGTATATCCCCCCCTCCAAAAAATCTGTCCCTAGAGATGCTCCTGGCTCCGCCTCCTGGCTATCCAGACCCCGCCCCTTATCTGGCTTCTGGGTCAGCCCCGCCCACATCCCCAACCTTGAGAAACGTCGCCTTCCCCCTATAATCCACAGCCTAGGGACCAAGAAAATCCCTGTCCACACTAGCCCCACCTTTCCCAAGGGCTGCCCCCAAGCTGCTCCGGTTCCTCTAGTCCCCGCCGGCCCCGGGCCCGCCCCTCACCTGGATTCAGCTGCAAACTGTATTTGTCCTCAAGGCCCTCCCTGGCGATGGTGACCACGAGCTCTCGCAAGAAATCGCTGTTCTAGGAGTGAGAGAGGGAGGCTGCGGGAGGGCTCCAGGTGGAGGGAGAAGCTCCGGCCCAGGCCTCACCCGCAGCCCCGCCCCCAACCTGCATCCTCCGGTAGAAGTCGCTGTTGACGGCTACGTCGTAGGCGGTACAACCCTGGCCTTCTGTGGGGAGAGAAAGGGGGTGAGACCCCCAGCCCTCCGAGGGAACCCCACCGCCGGATAAAGACAAGGCAAAACCAATAACGGCCAGCAGCCGCAAGAACCAGAGAGACCCAGAGACAATCAGAAAGTAAGGGCTCAAGACTCGCACTTGCCAGTCTGGAATCATACCAGCCTGTCTCTTCCTCTCGGGTCCTTTCCCACCATGTCCCAGCGCTGACCTCGCCCCTTCCCTGTACACAGCCCTCCCATGGCTCCCCAGCGCCCCAGATGAAGGTATATGTCCTTCAGGCGTGGCGTTGAAGACCCTGTGTGGTCTGCTCCTCCCCCCTGGAGATAAGCTCACTTCTCTGTTACTCTAGGACCCAGTCCAATGTCCCTCTGGTCATTGCGGGGATCTGGTCCCTTTAAATTTCTTCCAATCTCTCTTGATTACTGACCAATCCAATTCAATCACTGCAGCCTCTGTACTCCTCTGTCCCCTCTACCTAGAACCCTCTTCTCTGTCTTGGCCTGATGAACTCCTCTGGTTCCTTCACATTTTATATCTGACACCTCCTCCTCCAGGAAGCCTTCCCAGACCCTTCAGTTTGGGTGAAGAGCCCCTATCAGAGCAGCACAAATCATACCATATTGAAACCGCATCTGTCCCCTCCACCCTCAATCTAAGACTAGGAGTGTCTCAAGGGCAAGTTCTGGGTATGATCAGTCCCCAGGGCACTGCCCAAAGCCTGGTCCCAAGAGGCTTCAGGGGACATATGTGATTTGAAACACAAGCATATAGAGTCAGAAACTCAACAGAGAAGGTGAGACAAAGCTGAGAGATAGAGACAGGGAGAAGGGTGAGGAAGGAAACAGGAACAAGAGTGAGCGCTGGTCTGGCCAGCTAATGAGGACACCTGCCCAGCTCGCCCTCACCATGGAGTAGGGCAGGGAGAAGTCCAGCCCGGCCAGGTGGGCAGGACCAGGACTGTCCTGTGCAGCAGGCACTAGAGGCCCAGGAAGCTGGGCATATGTCCCAGAGAAAAGGATAAGATCAGGAAGGCCAGATTTCTGGGTGCTGAGGGAGGAGAACCCTGGGCCCTGGATCTTGGATCCTCGGGAAGAAAGGACCCAGGGAGCTAGATCCTTGGGTCCTCTGAGGGCACTGACTTGCATCCAGTTCGGCATGAGGTTCTCCCAGACTCATGGGGATACGAAAACCGGCTTGGTCTTCCTCCAGCATTTGAAGCAGCTCGTCCTCAGTCACGTCAGCCGGAGGAGGGATGGAAGGAGAGTGACAGATGTTGATGAACACCTTCCCTTCGGATGAGTTGGTCTTTATGCAGAAACCTGACGGAAATGGGTTTGTCCTGAGTGTCTGCCTCTGCATGCATCTGGGTTTCCATCTATCCCCTCTTCAGTCTCAGTTCTTCTCTTGATCTGTCCCCTCTTTGGCCCCTTCTCTTGATCAGTCCTGTTTTCTGGGTCCGCTCCCCACTCCATTCCCTGGGATCTCTGCATCTCTTTCTGTCTTTGAGTCTCTGTCCCCCTAGTCATGCCCGTCCTCCTCCTCCTCTCTTTAGATCTTGGTCCCTTCCCTGCTCTCTCTGGATCTCTGTCACAACCCCCGTCAAGGCCTCTGTACCCCATTACTGTGCCTCTCTCTTGCCTCCTCTCTCTGTGTCCCCTGCCCCCAGCTTCTGTCCACCTCTCTCTAAGACTCTATCCCCCTCTCTCTGGGTTTCTGCCTTTCTCACCAGGTTGCGGTTGGATCTGTGTAGATTCTGGTCTGCTTGTCTGGGCTTGCTGGAGCTCCTTGGAGGCCTGTGTGAAGGAAAACAACAACCTCTGTGCTATCAGACCCTCATTTGTTCTTCAAAGGTTTGTCGAGAAATTTTATGCATATGAGATGTGCACAGAATAGGACATACTATGTCTCTCTCCTCCTTTGAGGACCCCTAAGAACAACCCCAACCCCACTCTGCATTTCTTCCAGAGCCTAGCAAACTTGGGAGTTAAGCAACTACAATTCCATGTGGTGCGTTCTGGGAATGTAGTGTCATCTCTGAGCACCCACGGGTGTGCATACACACACACACACACACACACACACACACATCCCCCGAACACCCAGGGACCCAGGAGCGGGTCAGTCCTCACCTGCAGCAGCAGCTCTTCAAAACGCTCGGTCTCCGTGCCCATCTTCTCTGCCTCGCCTAACTCCGGCACCAGCAGCTTCGAGTCCGCCATGGCCCTGAGGAAGAGACCTAGGCGTCCTCAGTAACCCCGACGTGGGGGGGGGGGAAACCCTGGCCAGGATCCGAACTGTGGGGCCTGCTGCCGGACCCACAACCGACTCCTGACACCCGCTATCCTGTATGAAAATCTAAGAATCTGGCCTGAGACTATAATTCCACTCAGACCAGATGCGGTTGTCCAATCTGTTGGGAGCCAATAGTTCCAGATGCTCTCCAAGTCCTATGAGCTAAACATGTAAATGACAGCCACACTTTCAGCCTCTGTAACCAAGGACTTCAGCAGACCACGCTTCCGTCTACCTCGAACGCTCAGACACCAATCCGGCAACCGCACTACGTTCCGACCAATCATAGTCTAAGGCTGAAGCCACGCCTCTCACCTCAACCAATCAAAACTAAATCCTGAACCTAATTTCTGAATGCCACACTTCCTGTGTCGATTAAAGCTATACTTCTCCTCTTTCCAGACCACATCTGGCCAAGCTACTGGACAGCCCAGGCTGGCACACTTTCAAAAACTTAATTTCAACGTCCATCCTAAAAGATTCCCTTCTGACCTCTGAACTATCGCTTCGTCCCAGAGCTCGATTCGATTCTCTAGTAAATTTACTTCGGACTAAAAGCTGAACTTCATGCCCTCAGTATGAACAGGGTGGAGAGAAGATACACCAATACGGTCACCCTTCTAAATCTGGAGCCTTGCTAACTATTTGCAACACACCGCATTTTCTTCCCGTCCCCGACCCCCACCCCGCCTCGCCTCGCTCTGAGGATTGCGCATGCTCCAAATCACATTTCCCAGCTTGGGCATATGGGCGGGGCCATCGTGTCCAAGGCGGGGTTACGCTCTCTCCCGTAGCCCCGCCCCCTGCGCTGGAGTGGGCGGTGCCGCCCTTCGACCTCAAGGTTCCTCTGGGCAGAGCGCCCCGCACTCCTTGGTGGAAAGCGGGCCCGGGCGGGTGATGGCTGCGACGCGTGAAAGGACTAGCGCCCGAGAGATCTTCAACACGCTGGAGTACGGACCGGTGCCTGAGAGCCACGCATGCGCGCTGGTGAGGGCCTGCCGTTCGGCGCTGCCCATCCCCCTCCCCAGGCCTCCAGGTCCCGTTTGGCGCGCGACTCCCGTGATGCACCGCGGCAGCTCAGCAGCTCCGCCCTTCTCGGTTCCCGTGACTCAGGCAGCCCCTTTAGGACCCACCCTTGAAGGGCGTTCCCTTGATTCTTTGCGGCTGCTGCTTCTTAACCCTTGAGTCTCCCCCCTCTTGTTTCGGAGTAGTTCTCGTACCCCTTGTTCCGAACTTCGCGGCGGTGTTTCCCTGATAACTCAGAGCCCCCGGAGGGTCTCCTGTGATTCTTCAGCCCCTCCCCCCCACAGAACCTCCCGTGATCCCCAGGGACTCGGAATTCCTGTGGGGGCGCCCTTGATCTTCCAAGGACCCTCAGAATCGCCATGGGCTTCCCGTGATTCCTCAGAACATCCTGTGGCTCCTATGGCCCACTGAGCCCCACCCCCTGAACTCCTGTGGGGCTCCCGTCGTTCCTCAGGGCCCCCATCAATACTTGCGGGGCTCCAGGAGCTTGGGAACCTCGGGAGAGCTCAGAATTTAAATCACCTCAGAATACCACCCTCGTGGGGCTCCCAGGATTCTTCAGCGCCTCTTCAAGTCCTCATGAGGCTCCTGTGATCCCTCGGGGCCCCCCAGACCACCTCTTGTGGTTCCTGTGGATAAGTAGGGTGCCTCGAATATTCTGTAATTACCTAGGCTCCTCAGAACTCCTTCCATGGGGCTCTCCTGATCCCACAGGGTCTTCTAGCATCCAGGAATGAGAAGCTTAGGCTGGAATAATGGAAGAAGATAAGACCAGAGCCTGGAGCGGGCTGTGGAAGTGGATAGATGGATAGGAGGGCAAGAGGCAGAGATACAGGAGGAACGGTGTGGGAGTTCAGAGGGCAAGGTAGTGTCTGAGGTCTGGCTGTCTCTGTCTGACCCACCACGACCACCACCAGTGGTGTTCCCAGGAGAACTAGGGTTTCGAGGAAAGACCCTGAGCTTGGTTATCACATGGTGAGAGTGTGAGGGACCCGGGAACAGCCTTGGGCTTGTGCAGGCGTCAAACGCTACTTGGGCTCGAGCCTTCAGGTCTGGAGACAGGGACCTGGGAGTCACCAGTGTAGAAAGATAGCTGAACTGTGGGAATGAGGATCTGGGTCAGAGGACAGACAATTCCCAAACTTGGAGGTTAGCTAGAGATGGAATATACTGAAATAGCAATAACGTGATCATAGCTTATATTTACTGGGAGCTCTCTGTGTTCGCTCAGTGTGATCTCATTTAATCCCCAGAACAGCTGTGAGAGGGGATTATTGTCATTATTTTAGCACACGGAGGCTGAAAGGGGTAAGCAATTTTTCCTACGGTCAACACAGTTTAAAAGAGGTGAAGCTGAGATTTGAACCTGAGCCCCCGGATTCCACAGCCCATGGTTTCCCCACCGCCTCCCAAGCAAAGGTCTCAACCTTCCAAAGTGTGGGCCAGACTCGACCAACAAACTGTTTTCTTTGGCCTGTACTTTATTTTTGAAAATGTGAATTAGTGGTCAACTAATTCCCTGTAAACATCCAGGAGGATTCCAGCTTCTTTTGAAAATAAAATCCCAAAATTTGGCAATGTTTGGCTCACATTCCCTGACAAAAATCATCTGGATTCAATAGTGGCTGTCTTTTTAGGCAAGTCATGCGTTCCCAATCTCCACCAGCCCCTCTTCTCACACTAACATGACTTGCCAGGACCCTGTGGACATTCCTTTAGGGTTTTGTTTTTCTTGGGCGGGGGGAGTTTGCAAACTTCCACAGAGTAGTTAATACTGCTACTTACCTATTCCTCAGCTTCAGGAATCGCCAACATTTGGTCCAGTGTTGTCTTCTATTGTTTTCTCTTTTTTCTGGAATGATTTAAATCCCAGATGTCGTGTTAGCTTCCCAGAAATATTTGAATTCCCATTTCTAGCAGATAAGGACTCATTTCGTAACATAACCATCTAGCCTTTTTTTTTTTTTTTTTTTTTGAGGGAGGGCTCGAGCGAGTGTGCAAGGCAGGGGGAGGGGCAGAGAGAATCTTAAGCAGTCTCCACGCCCAGCACAGAGCCCGACAAAGGGCTTGATCTTACAACCCTGGGCCGAAATCAAGAGTCAGACACTTAAGCGACTGAGACACCCAGGCATCCCAGCGGTCATTATTTAATATCATCCAATGTCCAGCTCACGTTCATACACCCCCAGCTGTTTCCAAAATGTGTCTTTCTCTGGGGGTATTTGAATTGGAAACTTCTGACTCACCATTTGACTTCAAAGAAAAAGGAGAAGGGCCAGTTGGCAGGGTAATAGGAAAATCAGGAGAAGTGGCTTTGGGATGCTAAGAAGAGAGCAGTTGTAGAAGAAAAAAGTGGGAAGCATGTCTCGGATTTTGCCAGGATTTAAGGAAGAGAGGACCAGGGAGAGAGACGTGGAGCAGACGTGGAGGGCGAGGTGCAGTGGGATTAAGAGGCAATCCTACATAGTGCTGTTCTGAGTATATAATGGGCATTGAAGCATTTAATTCTCACCGCAGCCCTGTGAAGTAGAGAGGGGCTGTGATTATCCCCATCTTCCAGATGGCTTAGCCAAGCCCAGAGTATTGTAACACCCTAGCTGAGGTTGCACAATAAACACCAGAGCCAAGATTCAAAATCCTAGCTCCAGAGACTCGGTCCCATTTGCAATGCCTGTATGCTTTGCGTTGGGCTCAGGTAGACATGTCACATCAAATAAGTCTGCACCTGGCAGGCCTGTGTCTTCAGCGGGAGTCCATACTGCTCTGACGACCGCAGAGGTGGGAGGGAACGCCATCACATGGCCAGGTGCGGGAGCCACCTGGCTTAGAAGCCCCACCTTCCAAAAAGAACCTGATACTGCTTGGGAACAGTGTCATGGGCATTGCCTCCAGGGTTGTGACAAGGTATGTACCCAATCACAGGAATGCAGAGCAATCAGAAAGCCCCAATGCCCTGGCTTCCCATTGGAGCCTTATGGCGTGTTCCCAATTTTCCCAGTCAGGTGCGGTGGACCATTCAGGAGTCATTGTTGCCTGGTAATGCAGCTGAATTGTCTCAGGTGTCCTGAGAAATAGGAAGTTCACCTGAGGTCATTTCTCCACGGAGGAGAAAAGGTTTTATTAAGCCACATTTCAAAGTCAGTAGGACAGGGGCGCCTGGGTGGCTCAGTGGATTAAGCGTCTGCCTTCGGCTCAGGTCATGATCCCGGGGTCCTGGGATTGAACCCCAGTAATGGCTCCCTGCTCAGCGGGGAGTCTGCTTCTCCGCCTCCCTTTGCTCCTCCTCCTGCTTGTGCTGGCTTGCACGCTCTCTCTGTCAAATAAATTAAAAAAAAAAAAGCAAAGTCAGTAGGACAGCCCTCACATATCTCTGGTGAGAATGTAAAACAGCTTGGTGGTTCCTCCGTAAGTTACTCGTGGAGTTGCCATATGACCCAGCAATTGCCCTCCTGGGTACAAATGCCTAGAAGAAGTAAAGATGGGTGTTCGAACAAAAACTTGTACATGCATGTTCTGAACGTCACTATTCACAATAACCAGAAGACAGAAACAAACTGAATGTGCATCCACCGGTGATAAATGGATAAACAAAATGTGGCCTATCCAGACATTGGAATATTATATAGCTGTAAAAAGGAAAGGGGGTTTTTGTTGTTGTTTTTTTTTAAGAGAGAGAGAAGACAGGGAGGGGCCTCGGGAGAAAGAATCTTAAGCAGGCTCCACACCCAGCATGGAGCCCAATGCGGGGCTCAATCTCACAACCCTGAGATCATGACCTGAGCCGAAATCGAGTCAGATGCTTGGGGGGTTGGGGGATGGGTTAGCCTGGTGGTGGGTATTAAGGAGGGCACGTATTGAATGAAGCACTGGGTATTATATGCAAACAATGAATCATGGAACACTATGTCAAAAACTAATGACGTAATGTATGATGAGAACATAACATAATAAAGTTAAAAAAAAAAAGAGTCGGAGGCTTAACCAACTGAGCCACCCAGGAGCCCCAGGAATGGAGTATTGATACATGCTACAACTGGATGAACCTCAAAAACAGCATGTTGGGTGAAAGAAGCCAGCCAAAAAAGTCACAGATTGTAAGGTTCCGTTTCTGTGAAATATCCAGAGTAGGCAAATCCACAGAAACAGGAAGCAGATTAGTGGTTGCCAGGGGCTAGGGGCAGGGGGAAGGGAGAGTGACTGCCTAATGTGTACAAAGTTTCCTTTGGGGGGAACGGAAATGTCCTGGAACGAGATTGTGGTGATGGTGGCACGTCCTAAATGCTGTTGTTTTTTTGGTTTTTTTTTTTAAAGATTTTATTTATTTATTTGACAGAGAGAGAGAGAGAGAGCACAAGTAGGCAGAGAGGCAGGCAGAGGGAGAGAGAGAAGCAGACTCTCCACTGAGCAGGGAGCCCGACGCGGGGCTCGATCCCAGGACCCCGGGATCATGACCTGAGCCGAAGGCAGCCACTTAACCGACTGAGCCACCCAGGCGCCCCTAAATGCTGTTGAATTGTACTACACTTTAAAATGGTTAACGTGATGAGTTTTAGTTTATAATGTATTTTACATTTGTGGGTTATTTTCCTTCTACACAGGAGAAGAATTAGCGGGGGGGGCAAAGGGGGGCAGGTGTCCCTCTCCCAGAGGATTCTAGGCAGGAATTGACCTCCCCCAGCTGGCTCCCAGACCCCATTCCAAACCGTCTTCACCTCCCACAGGCCTGGCTGGACACCCAGGACCGACACTTGGGTCACTATGTAAATGGGAAGTGGTTAAAGCCAGAACACAGGAACTCAGTGCCTTGCCAGGATCCCATCACAGGTATGAGGTGTCCCCCAGCTGCTAGGGTAGGGAGAGGCGTCTGTACCCCCAGCTGTACCAACAACAACGCCCCATTCCCTTTGCTCGGGGCCCTGAGGCCAGGGAGTAGCCAGTGGGGGAAGAAGGCCAGGATTGCTGGCTCTTCCTGTTAGCAGTCATCCTCATTATGACTCCAAGTCCCTATGTACGCTTCTTGAAGTCACTCTACTTAAAGATCCCTTCCTTGATTGCGGGAGACAGAGCAATGACCAGTAGCGTTATAATAGAGTGGGGCTAGGGACCAGCTTTCCTGCCTTGGGGTGCACCCGGGCTCTGGAAATCTTAGCCCCCTCCAGTTCTGACATGGGCTCCCCCCCTTCCCGTCTGGGGTCCCTCCATTCATCTCCCCAGGAGAGAGCTTGACCGCTTGCCTCCAGGCACAGGCTGAGGATGTGGCGGCAGCCGTGGAGGCAGCAGGGACTGCGTTCGAGAACTGGAGCGGACTCCCTGGAGCCTCTCGGGCTCAGCACCTGCTCAGGTGACGCAGTTGAGGTGTGGGCCTTGGGAGGTGGGGAAGGACTCCATCCCCCAGTGTCCCACTTGAGACTGTTGGAACAAAGACTCCATTTCTCGATATCTCGCTGAATTACTTGTAGCTAAGGCTTATGGCCAGCATGCCTTCAAGCCTTTAGCAGCTAAAAAATCCATACACCATACACCAGGGCTGGTGATGAGAAAGCTGTTTCTCATCACCAGAATAGCCCCGGGGCTCATAGAGGCTCCATTTTCCTGGCCCCAGTGCCCATTTTCCAGCATACTCTTGGGGCAATTCGAGACAAAGTTTCCATTTTCTTTTCTTTTTTTTTTTTTTTTTAAAGATTTTATTTATTTATTTGAGACAGAGAGAGCATGAGAGAGGGGAGTTCAGAGGGAGAAGCAGACTCCCCACTGAGCAGGGAGCCCGATGCGGGACTCGATCCTGGGACTCCAGGATCATGATCTGAGCCAAAGGCAGTCGCCCAACCAACTGAGCCACCCGGGCACCCCAAAGTTTCCATTTTCTAAAAGAACAATTGAGATTAGAGGTTCAACTTCAATTTCGCAGCACCTTTGGGGGTCGCTGGTGGCCACAATCTTCACACGGCCCTTTCTGGTTTTGTGGTTCTCGGACTACATTTCCCATAAATCTTTGAGGCTCTCCACCCCTGGTAAATGATGGGGATGCCCCCAGGAGATCGTAGGGATTGTAGTCCAAGTACATAGGGGGTGTCCCAGGACTGTGTGGCTGAAGGGCAGTGGGAAATGACTCCCGCCCCCCCCCGGCTTTCTCTGCAGACTGGCCAAGATGATCCAGAAGCACCAGCGGCTGCTGTGGACCCTGGAGTCCCTGGTTTCTGGGCGAGCCGTTCGAGAGGTTCGAGATGGGGATGTCCCACTGGCCCAGCAGCTGCTCCAGTACCACGCTGTCCAGGCGTACACCCAGGAAGAGGTGCTGGCAGGCTGGGAGCCCATGGGTAAGAAGCAGGAGTCCTGGCCCCCAGCCCCTTCCTCCCTTATGACCTAGCAGTACGTGCCCCAGTCTCTTTATTTATTCTTACAGGAGTAATCGGTCTCATCTTGTCACCCATGTTCTCCTTCCTTGAGATGATGTGGAGGATTTGCCCTGCCCTGGCTGTGGGTAATTGTTGGGTTGGGTCTGAGGGAGAAGGGGTCTGGGAGACATGGACCCCTGGGTCTGAGGGAGGAGGGGCTGGGGGCCTGGACTCCTGGGGCTGAGGGAGGAGGGGCTGGGGGCCTGGACCCCTGGGTCTGAGGGAGGAGGGGCTGGGGGTCTGGACCCCTGGGTCTGAGGGAGGAGGGGCTGGGGGTCTGGACCCCTGGGTCTGAGGGAGGAGGGGCTGGGGGCCTGGACCCCTGGGTCTGAGGGAGGAGGGGCTGGGGGTCTGGACCCCTGAGTCTGAGGGAGGAGGGGCTGGGGGCCTGGACCCCTGGGTCTGAGGGAAGAGGGGCTGGGGGTCTGGACCCCTGGGTCTGAGGGAGGAGGGGCTGGGGGTCCTGGACTCCTGGGTCTGAGGGAGCAGGGACTGGGGGGCCTGGACTCCTGGGTTTGAGGGAGGAAGGGGCTGGGGGTCTTGGACTCCTGGGTCTGATGGAAGAAGGAGCTGGGACCCCTGGGTCTGAAGAAGAGGGTTGGGGGCCCAGACTCCAGGGTCTTTGAGCTGCCCCCCTTTTCCAGGCTGCACTGTGGTGGTCCTCGTGCCGCCAGCCTCCCCGACACCCCTCCTCCTGGCCCAACTGGCAGGGGAGCTAGGCTCGTTCCCAGGAATCCTCAATGTGATCAGTGGCCCTGCCTCCCTGGGCCCTGTCCTGGCCTCCCATCCTAGAGTCCAGAAGGTGACCTTCTGTGGAGCCGTCGAGGTATCTTTGGGGTTGGGAGGGGGACAGGATGTGACTGGGAGGCCAGAAGGCCCCTCCCTTGGCTGAATCCAGTGGGGGTCCTGCAGGAAGGACGTGCCCTTCGGCGGACCCTGGCAGGCAAGGGTGCCGAGCTGGGCCTGGCACTGGGGGCTGAGTCGCTGCTGGTGCTGACGGAGGCAGCGGATGTGGACTCAGCCGTGGAGGGCGTCGTGGATGCAGCTTGGTCCGACCGCAACACGGTAAGGCCCATGTGCCCGTGGGCCCCCAAGTCCTGGGGGTCGTGCGTGTCCGTCTCCAGACCTCAGGGCCTCGTGTCTCTCCATCGATTGTAATGTTCAGCTCTTTGTGTCTCACATTCTCTCTCTGTGGGGCTCCTCATCGCCTCTGATTTCTGAATCTCCACATCCCGGCTCTCCTGTTTCTGCAGGGGGCTCATGTCTCTTGTTCTTAAAGATTCTTTCCACTTTTCTGAGTGTGCACATCCCTAGTTTTCCAACCTCTGTCTTCACTCTGAATCACCACCTTCTGCAACTTCACCTCCTGCTTGGATGTGGAGCCCTGGTGAGTCTCTAGGGTCCCCAGCCACTGCTCCTTGACCCTCCTCTGATATGTGTATGTACGTCCCCATGTCTTGGCCTCTGTGGGAGCCTGTTCTCTCAAGGCGGGCCCTGACTTTGCCTGCCTGCCCTGACATCCCTCTTCCTAACAGGGGGGACTCAGGCTCCTCATCCAGGAGTCTGTGTGGGACGAGACGATGAGGCGGCTCCAGGAGCGGATGGCGCGACTTCGGGGCGGTCGAGGACTTGATGGGGCCATGGACATGGGGACTCGAGAGGCTGCCGCACGTGACCTGGCCCAGCGCTATGTGAGTGAGGCCCGGAGTCAGGGCGCACAGGTGAGCAAGGGGCACAAGCTCCAGGGTGCCAGGGGAGGAGAGACCTGGAGACCTGACTCCTGGGTCTGAGGGAGGAGAGATTGGGCCTGGGCTCCTGGGTCTCAGGAAGGAGGGACTGGGGGCCTGGACTCCTGGGTCTGAGGGAGGAGAGACTGGGTCTGAGGGAGGAAGGGGGCTGGGGGCCTGGACTCCTGGGTCTGAGGGAGGAGAGACTGGGCCTGGGCTCCTGGGTCTGAGGGAGGAAGGGGGCTGGGGGCCTGGACTCCTGGGTCTGAGGGAGGAAGGGGGCTGGGGGCCTGGACTCCTGGGTCTGAGGGAGGAGGCAGCTGGGGGCGAGGACTCCTGGGTCTGAGGGAGGAGGGGCTAGAAGTGACCTTGCCAATCTGTTTCTTTCTCTTCAGGTTTTTCAGGCTGGTGACAGCCTATTCTTCCCCCCAACTTTGGTCTCTGCCCTGCCCCCGGCTTCCCCATGTACCCAGGCAGAGGTGAGCCCTCTAGGGCCCTGGAGATCCCATTCTGTCCACCCGTCTGCAGCCAGATCTGAGCAGCAACACTACGCCTGCAGAGGCCCCAGTGGGGTGACCACTGGGTCTGGGTTTGGGGGCTGCTAACTGTTGTAGGCTGCTCCCCTAATGGCTGGGATGTTGGAGAGAGGAGCTGGCCAGGCCACCTGAGTTCCATCATCCCCCTTCCAGGTGCCCTGGCCCGTGGTCGTGGCCTCCCCATTCCGTACAGCTAAGGAGGCCCTGGCCATGGCCAACGGGACGCCCCGAGGAGCCAGTGCCAGTGTGTGGAGCGAGAGACTAGGGCAGGCCCTGGAGCTGGGCTGTGGGTCAGTCGGCGCCTGCTGGGGGCGCCCAAGCTTCTGCTCTTCCTCTCAGTCTTGAGGCCTCCATCCCCCTCTCTCCGGGTCTCTGCCCACCCACCCCACCTCTCTGACTCCCGGCCCCCTGTGACTTTGCGTTCTTGCTCACATCCCCTTCTCTCCCCACAGGCTCCGGGTGGGCACGGTCTGGATCAACGCCCACGGCCTGCGAAACACTGAAGTGCCCACGGGTGGCTGCAAGGAGAGTGGGTCTTCCTGGCACGGGGGCCCCGACGTGAGTGCACCCCTCCTCCGCCCCGTCATCACCCCCTTCAGCCACCTTGTGCCCTTTTGACACTGCTCCTCTTCCAGGGTCTGTATGAGTATCTGCGGCCCTCAGGGACCCCCGCCAGGCTGTCTTACTTTTCTGAGAATCTGAACTATGACACTTTTGGCCTTGCCATCCCCTCAACCCTGCCAGCTGGACCCGAAATAGGACCCAGGTGAGCTGTCCCAGGGTCTGCAACTGTGAGAATCCCTGGGGGTGTGGAAGGGGAGAAGGAAAGTTGTGGCAGGCTCCCCGTGGACTGTGGGGAGGCAGTCATTAGAGCTATCTTGAGGGGTCCCCGGGTGCTGCCCAGAATTGCATTCTGGGTCTTGTGGCTCCACACCCAGCCCCTATGCCTAAAGAGAGTCTCAGTACTGTTAAATGAAGGACTGTGCTCTCCCAGAGGCTCAGTGGGGTGGAGCATGGGGTCTGAGTGGACCTGGCCCCAGGACCCACCCCCACGCCTCACCCTGCTCCAGCCCAGCAGTCCCTTATGGGCTCTTCATCGGCGGCCGTTTCCAAGCTCCTGGGGCCCGGAGCTCCAGACCCATCAAGAATTCACAAGGCAATCTCCACGGCTATGTGGCTGAGGGTGGAGCCAAGGATATCCGAGGGGCTGTGGAGGCCGCTCACCAGGCTGCCCCTGGGTAAGGGGAATCATGTGGGAAAACCCAGAGGTCATGGGGCATTAGAGAGGGTGGTCTGAGACCCCCACACGCTGATGGTGTGTGGGGTCTGGGTCCCGAGGACCAGTGGGTTATGAAGTCTGAGCTCCCAAGGTTGATGGGATTCGGGTCACCCCCCTCACTCCCCTCCCCAGGCAGACGGGCCATGGGGCCTGGAGCCCCATCATAGGGGCTGCCGATAGAGGAAGGACATCTGGAAAGGGCCAGGACCAGGAAGCCGACTCCTGATTTGCACTGTGTCTCCCCACACACACAGCTGGGTGGGTCAGTCACCAGGGGCCCGGGCAACTCTGCTCTGGGCCCTGGCAACTGCCCTGGAGCGCCGGGAGTCTGCCCTCGCCTCGAGGCTGGAGAGGCACGGCATGGAGCTCAAGGACGCCAAGGTGGAGGTAGAGCTGAGTGCGAGGCAGCTTCGGGCATGGGGCGCCCGTGCCCAGGCCCAAGGCCATGTCTTGCAGGTGAGAGGGTTCGGTGGGCCGGCAGACAGCTTGGACAGCCTGGGGTAGGGGTTAGAGCAAGGATTTGGGAGTGAGCCAGACTTGGGGAGAGAGAAAGCGAGAGCGAGCGTGCGTGAGCGGTAGGGCAGAGGGAGAGAGAATCTCAAGCAGGCTCTGTACTGAGAGCATGGAGCCTGAGACAGAGCTGAGTCTCACGACCCTGAGATCATGACCTGAGCCTAAACCAAGAGTCAGACGCTCAATCAGCTGAGCCACCCAGGCACCCCTAATTCCTAGGTTTTAATCTGAGAACATAAAAGCATGTATCCATACAAGGATTTACATCCAAATTTTATAGCAGCATTATTCATAGTAGCTGAAAACTGGAAACAATCTAGCAGCGCCTGGCTGGCTCAGTTAGTAGTGCGTGTGACTCTGGAACTCTGGGGGAGTGAGTTTGAGTCGCATGTTGGGCGTGGAGTTTATTTTTAAAACAAATAAATATGACAAATAAAATAAAAGATGGAAGTAATCCAAACATCCTTTGATAGGTTAATAGATAAAGTGTGCTACACCCATAACAGTAGACTCCTACTCAGCATTCAGGAGCGAACAGGCTATTCCGTGGATGAATCTCAAAAGGACTATGCTGAGTGAAAGAAGCCAAATAAAAAAAATAGTGGAGACTATATGATTCTGTATCTAGAAAATTCTAGAAAATACAAACTAATCTGTAGTGAGCGGGCGCAGATCAGTGGTTGAGGACAGAGAGGGTTCAGATAGAGTCAGGTGGGAAGGATCACTAAGGGGCACAAGGAGATTTTGTGGAGTGAAGTTCATTATCTTGATTGTGGTGATAGTTTCACCAATATGTATAGATGTCCAAACCTACCAAATTGGGGGCATCAGGCTGGCTCAGTCAGTAGAGCATAAAACTGTTGATCTCAGGGTCGCAAGTTCAAGCCCCATGTTGGGCACAGAGTTACTTTAAAAAAAAAAAATTATCAAAGTGTACTCTTAAAATGCATGCAGCTTGGTAAATGTCAATTATATTCAATAAAGTTTTTTTTTTTTAAGATTTTGTTTATTTATTTGAGAGAGAGAGAATGAGAGACAGAGAGCACGAGAGGGAAGAGGGTCAGAGGGAGAAGCAGACCCCCGCTGAGCAGGGAGCCCGATGCGGGACTCGATCCCGGGACTCCAGGATCATGA